TGTATATACAGATCTTTTGTGTGTATATATATATATATATATATATATATATATGTGTGTGTGTGTGTGTGTGTGTAGCCAAATTTATCCAAAACTCACATTGTATAACCAGTCAAACACCTCAAATAACATAGCTTTCTAAACTCCAGAACACATTATATAAACAGTATGTATTTATGTCAATGCCCAAAAAATGGGAATGATGTGTGGTATAATTTATCTTGGATAATTTCCTGCACATTCCTCTTCATGCTATGCCTCCGGAGCACTTCAGGATGAAAGAAATGCTAATACTGTGTCTGTACCTTCACTGAGAGTTGTGTGTTTGTGCAGTCTACATGTATGTGTGTGTGTGTGTGTGTGTGTGTCTGTGTGTGTGTGCCAGCTCACTAAGCACCTTTATGATAATTAAAAGATAGGAGAGGTCAGCTACTTTGTGTGAAATGTGAATTATGACTTTTAGCTATATAAATTGCCAACATAGCATTTGTATTGTCAATTTTGGTGTAAACGTTTTAAGAAAGTGGATGTTATATATATGCAAGGTTTATCGGTAGCTGCTCACAAATGGTAAACTGCTTCACCTTTATCCTTGAGGTTCAGGTACCCACACCGATGCAGTTGTGATAAATGCAATATGCTGATTTTTATTTCTTTAAAATGGCAGGCAGGGTGACATGGCTGAAAAATATAGCAATCAAACACTTTAATGAACTGTTTCACACTACAATTCAACACATAAATACATTAAACCTGAAACATTTTCAAATACAAACGCTTTTTGTGTCCCATCACACTGCTTTAAAAAAGCAAAAAAAAAACTGCACTCAGTATTAAACAACATATTACTTTTTTCTTGGACTAAATATGCAAAGCAATACTAAATTGAATTCTTAAAATATTAGCTAATATCAGAGTAGTTGTGATAGCCATGGTACTTGTATTAGTGCTCGCTCGTAAACCAATTGCAACAGACAGCTAAACACAGCCCGATCTCATACAGTGACAGTAATCGAGAGAATTATAAATGCAAATGAAATTCTCAGCATGCATAGCTAGGATAACAGTGATTGTAAATTTGATTTTTAGAGCTCTGTGTTCCTGTCCACATACTGCACTGAAATTTGTATGCGTTAATGTGCATGCATGCACGTGTCTATGCCAGCGGACATTTTAGGTCTACCCTCCTCACACTCTCACTACTGCCAAACGCCTTAAGATGGTGGCACCTTGAGGCAGAGAGAGACACTCATAGAGAAAGCCAGCCTTCTCCTCCCTTTCCCCCATCCTCTACCTCAGGTCCTCTTGACAACACAGGACAGGGCCCCCTTTCAAACCCTTATCCCCCCCACCCCCCACCCCATAAATATTTAATTCACCCCTCTCTAATAAGGATATTAGGTGAGTACACCCCAGCCCTGGCGTATATGCATGAGTCCTTTCTCATCAAATTTACATAAAAGGGCCAGATGCTAATGCGAGTGTAGCAACTATTGCTCACTATTCTATATGCACTGGTTCTGGCTCCCTAGTCTAAGAGCCAATATAATTTAATCGCCAAACAGCATATATTTTTCAAATCGTTTGCCGTATTCAAATTGCATCTAGGCCTGAATACCCTGTGCTTTACAAAGAGCAGAAATATGGGCATATTTGATTGTAGTGACGGCATGTCTACCATATTTATACTTATTTAATGTTTTCTGAAGACCCTCCCCTTTTATGAACCGACACACATTACAGACGTGCTTATGTATAAGCAGGAACATTGTGCTTTATAGAGTCAAAGACATTTTAAAAATAAAGGCCAATTAAGGTTTAGAACCTACATTATGCTGATGGTGTTAGGACTTTACTAGAAGAAAAGTGAGAGTGAATACACTAAGAGAGAATTAGCATAATAACTTAGAATCAAGTACCTTGATACAGACAGGCTGCAGAAGTCATTGTATTCTATATAAAAATCAACATCCAGGCCACTCCAATGACGTAGCTCATAGCCTGTTGAGAATGAGCGCCACAAGGTTTGTAATTAATAGAAGATGAATAGGGCAGTGACATCAAATATATTATTTACACCTCTCATCTTCAAGCAAAATTCACAGCATATTTCAGACTGAATTAAATTAATTTATTTATAGTCCATGATATTTGCATAATCAAGAGCCAGTGGATGACAAATATACTAGAAGAAAGGCTGAGTGTCAGCTTTAGACATGTAGTGCACACTTACTGTGCACTGCCACAGTATTGATATCTAATCATGCAGCTACATAGCTGAAAATATTATTATTATCCTAAGTAATGTAGGTACAAAATGTATATTATGTCTTTTGCATCCTGTTCCACCTAAAGGCCTGTTAGATTTCGCATTAGAATAAAACAATACTGTATATGTTCACTGGAAATGACAAATAGCAAGTTGTATTTGTAGCAAAGCTTATTATAAATTCAAATAATAAAAATAGTAATTATTTATAAAAAATGGTCAATCATCCATCTCAAATCAAAATGTTTACATGAAGCATCATTTGACATATCCTCAAAATGTCTCTCTCTCTTTGCCTCTAGATTGAGCCTTTTTGCCAGTGAGCAGGTCCAAAGAGTTAAGGGAAATGTAGGCAGTTGGTGTGGAACATTAGCAAGCATACTGATGGAGACGAGGTGGTTTTTAGCAAAATATGGACTAAGATGTTCACACTATAAATTCTGGGACAATCAAACTTTGGCTTAATTTCAACCTTACATACTGACTCTGTTAACTCGGTTGAAAATAAAGTCAAGCTCACAATTTTAAAAGAACTGTTTATATTTACAGACACTCATAAAATTAGTCTTGGAGCATCTGTGACAGGAAAGTGTGTTTCACCGACAAATTATTTCTCTTGTTTTAAAGTTCTAGGCAAAAGTTTAACTTA